TAAAATTAGGCTTGTAAATAGAGCAAATTTGAATCGAATTAGGCCATATTCGAATTCGATTCCAATTACAAAATAACTAATTCGAATTCGATTCGAAATCCGTCAGATATTCAGAAATTCCAACTGAATTTGTTTTTGATTAAAATATTGAATATTCGAATCGATTTGAATTCAGCTGATTCTATAAATATTAAAAATCCTAAATCTAGAAATTAGATTACACAAGAAGAAACCCTTTGCTGTGGCCTGTGAACAAGAAAGAAAAAGCCTCAAAAGAATAGAATAAGAAGAAAATAATAGCAAAAAACACCTGAAAATTCTAAAAATAGAAAAGAGATATAAAGAAGTAATAGAGAAAGCTGAGGTTTGAATGGAAGAAGTTAGAAGAATGCAATGAAGCTCATTTGTCTTCGATGAAACCCGATGCTCTTTCCTTTTTTTACTTCTACCTCTGAATCTCTGATTGCAAGTTTAAAATAGTAAAGCGAAGAATGATAACACGACCACGACTAGGGGAGAGGGAGATGAGACGGAGATGGGGAGAAACATAGTTGCAGGTTAGAAGATGAGGAGAAGAAAACTTTGTAAAAGTGAAAGAGTTGTGGGTTAGGAGAAGGGGAGAAGAAGAGTCTTGTGAAAGTAAGAGGGTTGTGGGGAGAGGCTCAATGAAGACAGAGGGATTATGCATGTCTCGATGAAAAAACTAATAATATAAAAAGTCAATTGACTGTTGCATCATTTATTGGTTTTTGTCAGTTTTCTGAAAAGGTGTAAGAGTATTAAATGTATAAGACACGAAATCTTATATTACAATATATTTATATATATTTTATATTATGATATATATTATATTTATATTTAATTGAATTCGAATATTTATCAAATTGAATCAACCTATATTTGAATTTGATTCGATAAATTAATCGATATTAAAACTTAATTCAAATTCGACCATTAAATTAATCGAATAATCTGAATTCGGTTCGTTTACATCGGATATCGAATTTGAAATCAGATACTCAAATACCATTTACACCCCTAACTAAAATTAATATTTATTGTATTTCTGTAATTATTTTTTGTTTTTTGTGATAAATATATTTTCAATAATTATGTATAAAATTATTTTTGTTTTTTATTTAACATAAAATTTTCAATAATTATTGGAGATTAAGCTATTATTATTTAATTTTTAAGTTTAATTTATTTTACTTATTGTATTTTTGTTATAATCTATCAATTAATATTTATTAGAGATAAACTATTATTTGAGATTATACTATTTATTGGCTAATATAATATATTTTTTAGTATTTATTGTATTTTTGTAATTATTGTATTTATTGTATTTTCATTATCAATAAATTTTCAAAAATAGTGTATTTTTGCTATAAATTTTTTATAGTTATTGGAGATTAGAAGTGTTCACCAGTTGATTTAGCTGAAATTAAGAGTGTTCACCGGTTGATTTGATTCGATTGTAGGTTGTTTGGCCAACTAAATCAACCTAGTCAGGTTGGGGAGTTGGTCACCCGAAATCAGCTAACCATTTGTGAAAACTAGCCCACTCAGGTTGTATTGATTTGGGTTGATTTTTTGTTTGGCTAGTCGGTTCAACAGATTTATATGTAAAAAATTAAATTTAAATTAAAAAATTACTATGGCATTGTTAAAAAATAAGCTTAAAAATTCAATTTATGATATAAAATATTTTAGACTAAGAAATATGGGGATTTTCCCACTTTCCCATATTAAAAGATTTGTATTTAAAATAAAAAATAATATATATCTATGGTCAGGTCGTTCGATTGTGGTTAGTTTACAAATGGCCAAAGTAAAACTAATCCAACCTAGTCAGGTTGGCAAATTATTAAGCCAAAGCCAACCGAAAATACTAGAAAACCGACCAACTCGGATCGAGTTGATCAGGTTGGTTGGTTTCATCAGTTTGATGAACAACCCTAGTTGAAATTAATTATTGTTATTTTTGTATTATTAAAATTTCTAGAAAATATTATACCAAAAATTATAAAATAGTTATTTTAGAAAAAAATCCATTATTTAAAAAATATTAAATAATTTAATAATCTACCAAATATTAATAAGCAATCCATTATTTAATAATTTTTGGTTATTAATAAATGTTCAAAATTTCAACATTTAGCGTAACTTACATTAAGCATTATAATTTAATAAATTTTCATTAAATTTTCACAACAATAATTTATTGATATAAGATATTAATAAATATCATAATTTACTAATTTCTATAAAATCAATAATTATAGTTAACAATAATCAAATAATTTAGGGAAATTATTTAACTAATAATCCATATTTATTTTTAAATAATAATTCATTATTATTCAACTAAATAATTATTAAAAGTTTAGGAAAATTAAATTAGGAAATTAATCTATTAGAAATTGTTTCATAATTATTTAACTAAAAATTCATTATTATTATTATTATTATTATTATTATTATTATTTCAATAAATAATTATTAAATAATTTAGGAAATTAATCTATCAGAAATTGTTCCATAATTATTTAAATAACAATTCATTATTATTATGATTATTATTATTATTATTATTATTATTATTATTATTGTTATTATTATTATTATTTCAATAAATAATTATTAAATAATTTAGGAAAATTATTAAGTTTATATACACTGATCTAGACCACATAGTTGACTTCGACCATACCTAGTTATACATTAATTAACAAAAATGGTTTACTTTTGATTAAAAATAATTTAATTTATCATAATTACATTTACTTTGACTAATAAATAACTTAGGCAAAGTAAATAATTTACATTAATTTATTTTTATTGTAAATAATTAATTTACTATACGATATTACTAATCAATAGCAATTTTAATACTTTTTAGAAATTATTATAAAATATTATAATTTATTGTTTGTTAATTAGTTATAGAAAATTATTAGAATTGTAGGGATGGAAATTTTACTTGTAGAACTGTGGCCCTACCCTGCCCCACCCTGAACGGGGCAAGTTTTCTCAAATCTTAAATGGGGACGTGGCAGAGACGAGGGAATTTGGATTAACCGAACGTGATGGGTGTTCAACAGGCTATGGGGAAAATTTAGGGATTCCCCATCCCCGATAGGGAATGGGTGCCTCGCCCTGAACCCACCCTACCACTAGGGTCGGGGTAGGAATAGAGTAGAGTGTCTTGAGTTATAGGGGCAAGGGACAAGGAGGGGTGCCCCATCCCGTGCATCACACGGCCCCCACTAGTATATATATTAAAATAATATGACCAGACTAGAGACCCTACTTTGGCTTCCTAAATTTTCAGCAAATAGTATCTTAAAAGTGGGTTCTTCCCATTTGTCCACTCCTCACAAAGAGTTAAGGTGGTTAATTCCACCATGGTTTTCAAAACTAGACTAGATCGGACGGTCAAACTGGAAAAACCGGGAACCAGTTAGGTGACCAGTTCCATCCAACGGTTTTGGCCGTTTTTTATTTTTTTTTTAATTTTTTTCTCAGAACGGGCCATCCGTTCAATTCAAATAGTCAGACCGTTCAACTCTGAAACTGGACCCCTAACCAGTTCCTTGTCCAGTTCAGTTTTAAAAACCTTGAATTCCACTCACCACCTAAAAAAAACTTTAAAACATACCTTCACATTTAAAGCCTCCCTATTCATCAGACAAGTGGCACCCATTCATTAACTTCTCTTAAAAAACATTTCATAAGTGGGTTCCTCCTGAGAGAAGTTGACCCACTCCTCAGAAATTTTGGCCGAAAGGAGACAGGAAGAAGGGTTTGGACACAATATAGTGTGGGAAAAAAATTTGCAAGATGAAAAATGAGGGAGGACTGGGGCTTCGGTTATTAGAGAAGATGAACAAGGCCATGTTTTCGAAATAAATTTGGAGAGTTTTAACAGGAAATAAGGAATTATGGGTTCAAGTAATCAAAGGAAAATATTTGAAGGGGAAAAGTTTCTTTGACTGTAAGAAAAAGTAAATGACTCCTATCTCCTAGTGGCGGAAATGTGTCTTAACTTTGCGAAAAGATCTCCGAAAAATGTTGTGTTGGAAAGTGGGAAAGAGTAGCAAAATTTTTGCTCTTAAAGAACCTTGGGTCCCTCATACTATAAATAATCTACCACGATTAAAGCCAGAGGTTCATATTACTGCAGCTCTGGAGGAAATGCAAGTAAAAAAAGGATTTAATTGCAAAAGATGGGAACTGGAACCTAGGCCGGTTACATGAGCTTTTTGAAGAAAGCTCGATAAATGCCATCTTAAGTATACCCCTCCACACAGAGAATACAGAAGACTTGATATTGTGGAAAGGTACAAAGGAAGGGGTTTCTCGGTCAAGTCAGCATACAGAACCTTCAACAGATCAGAATGTGAAAGCTCGAGAAATTGTATAAATTGGAAAGTCTCCCGCAGCAGATAAAGCATGGGCATTCATCAGAGGCATGAGGAAACTGATCTCCTTGGGAACCAAACAAGCTTTTTTGTTCTCACTCAAAAGAGGTATTGCTCAAAGTTAAAGGAACCTCCAGAAACATCATGTGGCATGAAAAAGCTCCAATCGAACATATCAAAATGCCGCTGTCTGTTTTTGATAATATGTATTTAGTGTATGTAAGGAATGTAGTAACAGCAGCTCATGTAAATCACGATCTTTTGTTTTGCTTTTTTTTTTTGATAATCCCCCTACGTATATTTCCAGCTCGATAAATCATTGTATAAGGGGGCACCAGATGTATCCATAATGTTTTTTGTGGTTACTTTCTTCTTTTGCAAAAAAAAAAAAAACTTTTACTTTGGAGTTCCCTTCAATTATCAGATTTCTGATATTCATGGCTTTGGCCTGTCTTATCCCATGAGGTTGACCATAGTTCTGCCTTAGTTGAGTCCCCAAATAGAAATTGCTAAGCTGGTGTTTATCATGTTTTGAGATAATTTTAAAGTGCAAATTAAAGGACACAAGTCTGAGGCCATCCAACGTCCAGAAAGGACACTGACACAAATATGGTTAAACTGAAAATTAGCAATTATCAAATTTATGGTACACCCAAGAAGCTATAGACAGCCAAATACCAAGCACAGAAGGAAATTACATTGGAAAAGGGAAGAAGCATTGAATTCTGAACTGAAATTATGGTAAAGAATATTATTTTTCTCAATTTAGATGTCGATTCAGAACTGATAATTGTCCCGAGTCTCCATTCAGCAAAAAAACTTCAAGAGGAACATATGATGATGGAGATGATAATGATGATCCAAACCTATGGGTGGGCTGGAGGATTTTACTGCCTTTAGCACATTGAAAGGCTAAAAGTCGAGGTCCATTTCGCATCTGCCAAACCTGCAAAAACACCATATTAAGAGTTTAAGACTAAACAAATATTCATGGTTATACAAGAAAGACAAGGATACATAGAACGAAGTTCAGAAAGCAAACTAGGAATGTACATTAGGTAAGAAAACATTAGGCTATGTTTGGTTTGAAGGAAAAGGTAGGGAAAAAAAGGAAAGTTAGGGAAACCTATACAAGATTTGTGAAGGTTTCCCTAACTTTCCTTTCTTTTCCCTACTTTTTCCTTCAAACCAAACATAGCATTAGTGAATGCATAGGAAATATAGTGTATCAAAGATGGTGCTAGAAACATTTGGACTAGGCTAACCATGAGGTGATCTTGGTGAAGGTGGATGACACAAGCAAATGAGATAAGTACTCAGCAAGGAAGAATTCTGTATGGAAGTATGAAGGATATATATATGGAATGAAGTTACCAGAATGTCATTTTAACTACCTACAAATGGATCAAAATCACACAAATGAGGCATGATGAAAAGGTTGAGACAAGAATCCTTTTGTTTGGGTTATTTCTGAAATTATTCTTGTTGGGTTTTCTGTGCTTTGAATCCCTGCATGGGTATGATGTAAAAAATCTGCACAATAATCAAAACAATTTATAGCTATAAGGTCCATAAGTTGAAATAAGAATAGGGCCCTTACCCAATGATGGTCCCAACTGTATAAGGTCTTTGGGAGGGGTAGACTGGATATGAACATAACCTTTGGCAATTTTGCACATAACGGTTAATCTCAGACTCAAACCAACATTCTCACGCTTATTGGCCCAAATTTTACCATTTTACCAAGCAANGGTTAATCTCAGACTCAAACCAACATTCTCACGCTTATTGGCCCAAATTTTACCATTTTACCAAGCAATGTCCCATTCCATAAGATAAAATAAGAATATACAAGTTCTGAATGAGGATTTTCTTTTCATCTCTTGTATGATGAACCCATAAAACCTAGAGATACAACTCTTCCAATTATTTTTAGTGGTGCTAACTCAGTCAAAGGCTTGATACAAGATAACTCCAAACCTTGCTCAAGAGAAGGCATATTAGCCCTCTAACATACCTTCTTCGCTTTCTTATTCTCTCAACTGTCATTCAACTTCTACTTTCTTGAATTCTTATCTAGTCCTTGCTTTTTTTTTCCAGATAAAATGGCTTCTACATCAGAAGACCTACATGAGTGTGTAGATTGATAAATTAACAAGTTTTCATGTTTATTTAAGGGAACATGGCTTCTAAGACATTGATAAACAAAGGTGCACCCAAGACCCGTGGCATCTCAGACACATCTGGATAAGATTAAGGAGTCCTTGGAAGGCATAGGGATCCAGATTAAATTGATTCCTAGAGATGAACCAAAGGACAGATGATCTAGCCAGATCAGGGATTGCAAAGGCCTATTTGTATAGTAGCGGTGCACTTCCAACTAGTCTTTATACTGGGGCTCCCATCCATACATGTGCATCAATGTATATCCTTCTTTTTAACAAACAATACAATGCACCATAATGACCCTTTCTCCAAAAAAAAAGAGGATGTTATGATTTCCAGCAAAAGGAAAATGGCTTATTCCACATCTTAGAATTTCCTTACAGGTTTACCTTCCAGTGGAGTTAATGAAGAAAATAAAATAAATAAAGAACCACAACAAACTAGAAAAAAACACCGGTGTTAGAAAATTGCACCTCAACTATTCCTTTCCGAGGTGCATGAATAGCTAGGCAGAGGCAGTAGTCACTTTTTGAGTGTTCATGATATGCAGAAGTTGACTTCGATGTTGTGTCTCTATTAATTAGCATCTCTGTGAAAAGGCAGCAAGCATCACGATACCCCTGATGAAGAAAGGAAGTTCAATGGTTAGCAAACATATACATGTGTGTGTGTGAAGATGAAAATACTTTTAGTGCATGAGGTCAATGAAATTGGTCTGAGTACAAACCTTCCAAAGTCGCACAACCACAAGTGCCTGAGTGTCTAGTAGCAAAATACGACCAAGAGAATCTGTAATAGCAGCCAAAGTACCACTAGGTGAAAGGGTGAGTTTCTCTCCCTTTCTTGGCCGATCTTTCAAGCAAGTTAAGGGAGATGCTGCCACAAATTCATGACCATAAAAATAAATTCAGAAAAATGAGAATATTAGCATTTAAGCCACAATCTATGTCACTATGAGCACAGAACAGGTCAAAGAATATTGCAAGCATAAAATAATCACCAAAGTGGACTGCACCAAGCCACCAAGGACAATTTATTTCAGTGATTTGTCATCACAAAGACCATATTTACATATTATCATTCATAATTTAACCCTGTAACTTAATTCAAATAAAAACCAACTTATATGCCACTGGGAAGGTGGTAACCTAATAAAATTCACTCCTTAGTGTACCGCTATTGGAACAACATATTCTTTCTAGATGTCAATGCTATAATCTTTTATTTTGTTAATTTTATAGTATTTCATCTACAGAAATTATTTATTTTTATAGGTTTTACAAGAAAAGGATGAAATATATAATGAAATCCTAAAATTAAAGAAAGAATCTGACAAAATAAGTAAACCTGAAATATTTCACGAATGTGCTTCTGTTACCATAAATGAAACCAAAGTTTCATGAAATTTCACCATATTTAAAAGCATGCCTGTTAGCTCCCCCCCCCCCATTACATCAAAAAGGAAAAAAAAATAAAAGAAAGAAAACAGCCATTAAATTGAGATTGACCATAGTTTGTAGAGGGAGAGACACGCTCTTTAGTGCTTCTGTTTTTTCCTTCCTCTCTTTAGAATGCTTTTGAGAGAAAGTTTTCATTCCTCTTGACACTTGCCATTTCACATGCTACATCAGTGGCAACCACTACAAGAGTTAGGTAACAATATCTGTAATGAAATTTGGAAGATGCAATATGCTTTTTTAAAATGTAATGTTGGTTTCCTCTGTACAAGATCAGTTTTTGTACTAGATGTTAAAGTTAAGCACCAGCCAATGTCATGGTGAAGGGATAAATCCACAAATCTGATACCAGTACCTGATGAACAGTTCCATGGATATCCCCCTAATGTCATCCATGGATGTAATCCAGCAAGCCTTTCTGATGGTAACAAAAGGACAAATCAAGAAATCTGAAACCATTTCCTGATGAACATGTCTATCGATATCTGTCTAAAGCCATCCATGATGATAATCCAATAAGCTCTTCCCATGCTAACTACTCAACAACCAACTTAATGAATGTGTTTGTATAAAATGCTTAAATTCATTTCCATCCAAAAGCTCAATAAGGGAGCACCTAACACAACTCTCATGGTATTACACCTCCTCCAAAGCATTCCTACACATTGGGCATATCAAGTGGCAACACCCATTTGATGATAATGATGATGGGGCTGTCAACGGGCTGGGTCTTGCTTGGGACAGCCTGTAACAGTTTTTTTTTTTTTTTTTGAAAAGTGATGATGTTTTCATTAAGCAAAGAGAGGGAATGCTGGAGAGGGAGAGATTCCTCACCAGTATACTTAAGGCATTAACTAGGCAAACTAGGCACCCTTGGCTGGGCGCCTCGCCCAAACACCTTTACTTATAGCAACTAGGCGCCCTTCAAGGTGAAAAAAATGAAAAGGCAGGTGCCTTAATATATCATTTATATTGCTGCATCTTATTAATATGTGTGTTAATACATTTTATTATAATATATATATATATATACTTTGTTTTAATGTTTTACTATTAAAGTTAATAACCTTCTTTGTCCGCCAATTGATATGAAATTGCTCTATTAAATATTTACTATAGTAGTATTATTTTTTAAAATAATGAAATTAATATATGCAAAAGATTTTTATCTTTTAGATGTGATGATTTGTCACATTTCTAAAGGAAATTTAATGTTCTTAATAAAGAGAACTGCTAATTTTTTCCATTAATATACATGCTGAATGGTGTATAAAAAACTAGGGAACTAGCCAAAAGTTAGTTCTTTATATATATTATAAAATTCATATTGCGTAGGCGTCACCTAGGCCACTAGGTGACTAGGCACTCCAGTGCTGCCCAGAATCACCTACTTGATAACTATGCTCACCAACTACAAGAAGAAGAAAAAACTACAAAAAAAAATTAACTCATAGTGTCATTAAGCCACAGAAGACCCTCCCACTGATCACAGACTTGCCTAAAACTCACACCCTGATAAAGATTACTAACAGACGCCCAACTGAACAAGGTTCTTTTGAACTTTGCACACACCTTTTGGCAGGAGAAGAAAGATTCTCAAAGAAGCACCAATTCCTTTCTTTCCAAATGCACCAGTAGATTGCCAAAGGGGCAAGGTTCCACAACAGCTTGCCCTTTTTAGAAAAGGCCTTCACTCTCCAAGAGGAAAACAGAACCCCAATATCCGGAGGGATAACCCAGCTCACCCTAAACAGCTTCAAAGCATGAGCCCACAAACTGGCAGAGAAAACAGAATGGAGAAGAGTGTGCTGAACGTTCTCCTCATCTCTTCCACATAAGAAGTAATGATTTACAATGATCATTCCTCTCCTTCTAAGTGGGAATCCTTCCTTTAATTGCATCCCAAACAAAGAAAACCACTTTTGATGGTTTCCTTATCTTCCAAGTCCAAACCCAAGGAGGGGAATGACCCTCCTCAACTGCCAAAAGATTCAGCAAAGAATTGACTGCAAACTTACCAGATTTCTCAGCAACCCAACACATAGCATCACTTCTAGAAGGCTGAGGTTTCACCTGTTCCAGAGAGTGAAGAAGAGAAGCCAGCTCACCCAGGTCCCAATCATTGGCATTCCTTCTGAGGCGAGGAATCCAGACACAGAGATCATTTTACCTCAAAACAGTCACACATCCAAGCCTCCTTGTCCTAGCCTCCCTATCCTGGGCAAGGGCAAAGATCACAGGATAGGCCACACAAGTGGTCTCTCACCGCACCACCTGTGCTTCCAGAATGAAATTCTATCACCAAGATCCAGCTTGAAGGAAATATAGTTCAAAAAAATATATTCTTAGTTCTCAGTCTCTCCTTCCCAAAGACTTGTTCCATAAGAACCAGTGGGTTCACCTGATTCCCAACCAAAACCCACCTCCCCATATTTCACTTCAATTAAGTTCCTCCACAGCATATTCTCTTCATTAGCAAACTTCCAACACTTTGCGAGAAGAGCAGTATTAACTTGTTTAAGTGGCCTAATCCCCACTCCTCCAGCATGCTTAGGTTTACATAATTTCTGTCCAAGCCACAAGATGAAATTTCCTCTCCTCTATTCCATCCCAAAGGAAATCTCTTCTCAACTTCTCAAGGGAATTTAACACAGTCGCTGGAGCTCTATATAAAGACATACTGAACCAATTATTAATCGGGACAAAACCACAGACCCAGAACCATCCTGATAATTAATCAGGATAATGAGGTCTGACCTGATTAGAACCAATTATTATGTAAAATTGTAAATCACAACTTGAAACTTGACTTTTTATAATAACCTTAATAAAAATGACAGTAAATTAGTAAATTATTTATATGTAAATAAATTAATGTTTTTAACCACAATTATCTATCAAATCTACCCTTTTAGACATAAAATATGAAAAACATTACAGGAAAGCTACGAAGCCTTTTCATATTATTAACAAAATAATTGTCTCAGAACAAACAAGAACCAGAACTGACCCAATTATTAATCAAGACAAAATCAGAACCAGAACCGATATAACCAGCTCAATTCAGTTATGTTGGTTGGGTAGAACCAACCCATGAAAAATAGCTGTCACCTATCAAAATCCTAATTAATATCACAGAGACATTAGGTTCAAAATTTAAAACATCAGGAAACAATCTCTAAATGACAAAATCATGCAGTACTGAAACAAGATTATAAAATGTAGGGGCAGCATCTATCTAAAAAAGAATAAAGAGGCAGCATTTGCAAATGGCATTTGTCAGTCAACTTAAGTCAAAGATTGCACTTCCTCTCAAATATGCATCTCATGGATAACTAGTTTATTGGTTGTTAGAGAAAAAAGATCAAATAACTATGTATAAACTGAATTCACCTTTAGCAAATGGCTGAGGCTTCTCTTCAGAGTTTGTTGCTGAAGTTTGCCCACTCCGCCAAATCATTTTAGAGAAAGAAGCTATTGTTGAAAATGTAGCAGGCACAACCTTCGACAGAATAGCTCCAACTATAGACCTGTTTCTGTCTTCAGAAAGCCTGTATTGAAATAAAATGGAAGTTAAAACCTAACATTGAAGGACAATAACAGAAGAACATAAGACCAACTGAGGGTGGCTCAGTTGGTAGGTTCTCTGGAAGTTTCTATCATAAATCTGGGATCAAATTCCACTGCCACCAGGGCTGGGGAGGTAATAAGAAGTGTAAAGATTAAAAACAGTTTGTTTCAAAAGGAGAAAAAAATAAAAGAACAAGTAGCAAATTGCAAATAGCCGTGACACTTACCTGCATGCTGAAATTACTGCATCCACTCCTATAGTCACTGCACAGTAGTAACGTTGACTTGACTGCCCAACAATAAAACCAGCTGAATTCAAAACCAGAATAACTTCAGAAAATTTCCATTATAATCATTGAAAATAATTACCAGCAACTGCACTAGATAATGAACTACAGGATGACCATAACAAAGCAAAATATAGAAAACCCAGGATTTTCAGAAATCCATCCAACCATGTTATAATACTTCTGGTAGTCAATAGGAGCTGAGCATATAAGCATAGTTTATCTTTTCAATGTCATATGCAGAGACAATTAAGCAAAGTTATTTCACCTGAAGTTCCATCAGTGGAGGAGGCATTATCCCAGTGATTGCTGCATCAACACATGATCCATACTTGTTAACATTCCATAGCTGCAGTGGTAGTCTTCCATACGAATTCCTCATGCCCTCCGTCTCACTCTTTTTTGGTTTCTGATCCCAAAACTGTGAGTGTGCTTCTTGAAACCAGCGTTGCAGCAAACTCTAAAAGCATGTAGTCCATGTTAGCTATACAAGTCCATATAGCTACCCAAAGCTCACTATTAAATAATACCAAGAAGATATTCTAGCAGAAAAATGAATAAAACCATGGTCAAACTTTTTTATGGGCTTGGGGGAGTAAGACTGAAGGATTTTTCTTCCTCTGAAAATACATGTTGAATTACCTGATGTGCCTATTAGAAACTGTAATGTAAAACTCTTTTTTTTTCAAAAGCTGAAGTATCGTATTAATATCAAAAAGTGGGAAACAATCATAGAACATGTACTCATATGGGACTATATGATTTGTGTTGCAACATATAAATAAGAAAACAATGTAGTCCTGACAAAACATCTGTTATAGTCTATCCCCCCTGAATTCCTTATGCACTGACAGCCATGAGCAGAGCATTTCTTAATACAACTGACAATAAACATGACATACCTGAATATCCGATCCATCAAAACGTGCAATTATGCCTGGAATAACAACACAAACCTCCTCTGACGATGTATCTTGTGTAAGACCACTCTTGGTTCCATGAACTCGTAACCTTAGTATGCGTCCAGGATATATAAACTACATATAGATATCCACAATCATCCATCAGTTTCATGGTCACTGTTTCTTGGTAGCACAAAAACGAAATAAGCTCATTTGCTAATGGTAGTATTTTCATGAAAGCCACACCATAAACTTGGAAATTGAAAAAGATAATTAACCAGAAAAAGGAATTCAGGCAACATATAACATGTAATTCATGCATGTGCAAACAAAAAGATGTGTAGTAGGTAGAAGAGAACAAAATTCAAGAATCTAAAAGCCCAAAAGGACTACTTCAGGCGTATTATTATAATCATACAAACTCAGATCTGCAGATCTGTGTATGTGTCTTATCATCCAATATAAGCTTTATACAAGCTATTTGGGGTCATTTGAATGTGGCCTGTTTCTGTCAATCTAATTAGGTCCATATCTTTGTTAATGCATGAGTCTTGAAATCCTTGCCCACTAGATCAACTCACAACCTTTTTGTCCTGCCTAGCGTCTTTTTAAAGCCTTCAACTTAAAGTTTATCTCTCCTTACCATTGTTATCACCTATCATGGTTGCTTATGTAACCAAGAGAATTCAGAACTACAAGTTCCAACCCTTCTGACACTTGTTTTAGGCTTTTAGCACAACGAACTCCTGATAGTTTTCTGATAATACTCCAAAATGATATGAAGATCAGTGTTTTAAAAGGCTTGGGAGGCATACACCTGGAGGCGCGCCTCCAGGCGAGGCACCCCAAAAACGTCATCAGGCGTATGCCAGAGGTGTTGACACCTCTGAGGTGTACGCCTCATGTGCCTCATGCACACCTCATATAAAAAGACAAAAAAAAAAAAAAAAAAAGAATGAGAGAAAAGAAAAAAGAGAAAGGAGAAAAGAAAGAAGAGAAAGAAGAGAAAAGGGAAGGGACGGAAAGAGAAGGGGAAGGAAAGTGGACAGGATGCTCTGCCCCCGAACCCCCCCCCCCTTTCATCTAGTGTTATCCATCTTCATTCTTTTTAATATAACAGATTCTTATTAAAAATTAAGAAAAATGGGATCCTCCTTCAACTTCCTCCTTCCCCTCCTCCCTCCTCCTCATCCCCATCCTCTTAAGGAGGCTTACGCCTCACGCCCCTAGGTAATGCTGTAGTGAAACGCCTCGCGTCACGCCTCTACGTTTTAAAACATTGATCAAGATATATTAATGGTTGGCACTCTGCTAGAACATATTCACAAAGATTCCAGAACCTTGATTCTCTTTTCTACTATTTATATTTATCTTTCTTAGAAGAGGTAAGCACATAATATGAAGTGTTGGGATTAGAAATCACTTCATAACCATACATATTAAAACACAGAATCAATGTAGGAAAAAAAACTCAAGACAAAACTTCTGTTTGAAATTCAGTTGGTAGGATATCTGACTCATTGTAGCAGAGACCTGGGATCAAATCCTGCTCCTACCAGGGTTGGGGGGGGGGGTGTTAAGGGCATGGTAGATGGGCTACCCCCCATTGTGTAGCCCCATTAAGCTAAAATAAAATAGAAAAAAAAATAACAAAAAAAGGAAACTGTTTGAAATATTATGCAAGGTTTTATTTAGAAAGGATTCCATCATCTTTTTTTGTTTGATAATTAACCTTGAATTTCATTAATGAATAAAAGAAAAGTTCTCAAACTCTAGATAGGAAGGGCAATACAATCAGCCCTTGGCTGTGTCACAATTGTTTAAAGATTACACTTAGTTGGATTTACATCAATCTCCGGTCCTGGTGTTCCCCAAGGAAGTTGGTCTCTGGTTACTCTGTTTCATCCAAGGACATGAGCTAAGGCATTAGCTGATCTAGGTGCCCATTTGAACGAGCAGTTCAATTTTGATGACAATGATAATGCTTCTCCAATCATCTGTTGGAGTACCCAGGAACCCCATTTTTTCTTCTCCATCATATTACCTTGGCTTGTGGAGTGATTGTCCACAAGCACTAGAAATCATCACAATGGGCAAGTCTGTACATAGATATTAAACCACATAAACAAGAAATTAAAGAAAAACTTAGAAATCAAAGTGATGGAACTTTTTTGGGCGTCCCTTCTCATGACACCTTGCCCAAGTGGCCAAATGCCAAGACATTTGGCATGCCAAGTGTTGAGTGTAGGCAGTGTCCAAGAGAAAGTACAGATAGGCCCAACAGTTTTAAAACATCCTGGTAACATTGATTGTTTCTATCTGGTTCTCTCATTGCCTTTTGTAAATGAAGCCCACTTAATCCAATTTTTTATTCTTGTTTGTGTTCTCTTTCAATAACATACACTATTAAATGTGATTCAAGCTCACCTTGGTCAAAACAGTAGTAGGCAAGAATGTGAACAAGACACTCTTCTGCATTCCCATCTTTCTTTCTTAATTTATTCATTGTCCTTTTGGCTAGTCATCCCCCTGTCTTCCTCCTTTTCTGATGCCTATTTTTCACTATTCATTTCTCTTTATTCCCAATATTATTATCAATGTTTTAAAATGCGGAGGTGTGACGCAAGGCGTTCCACTACCTAGAGGTGTGAGGCGTAGTTCAGAACGCAAGAGGTGTAAGCCTCCCGAACACAAGGAGGCATAAACCTCCTTAAGAGGAGGGGGATTAGGAGGAGGATGAAGAGGAAGGGGGATCTCATTTTTTCTTTATTTTTAATAAAAATCTTTTATACTAAGAAGAATAAAGATGCAAACCACTTTCTTTCCACTTATCTTTTCTTCCCTTCCCTTATCTTTTCTTCCCTTCCCTTTCCTTTTCTTTTCTTTCCTTTTCTCTTTTTTTCTTCTCTTTCTTTTTCTTTCCCTTCCCTTTCCTTTTCTTTTCTTTCCTTTTCTCTTTTTTTCTTCTCTTTCTTTTTCTTTCCCTTCCCTTTCTTTTCCTTTCCTTTCCTTTCCTTTTTTTCTTTTTTCTTTTTCTTTCTGTCTTTTATATCAGATGTGCATGAGGCGCATGAGGCGTATGCCTCTAGCATGCCTCATGAAAAAAGTGCAAGAGGCGTACGCCTCAGAGGTGTCAGCGCCTCTGGCATACGCCCCAGAGTGTTTTGGGAGCGCCTTGCCTGGAGGATGCCTCCCACACCTTTTAAAACACTAATTATTATTTGGATAGCTCTCTCTCTCTCCCTCTTATGTTCATTACAAGTTCTTTAATTTTTTAAGTTTTATCTTTCTCTTTCCCCCTTTCCATCTTTAATCTATTTCATTATTTCAATTACACTTTTGAATTGGGAACAAAAAGGTGTGTTATAAGTTATTATACCTGTTAAATAAAATAACTCTCTTTTTTGGCATGTAAATTCTATTTAAAATAAGATTTTCAATTACTTATGATTTTATATAGTTTTATATGAAATTTCATCATGCTGTGATGTTCGTGTACTGTACACCAAGACACCTAGCACCTATACCACACACCTAGGTAATGACGATTGTGAAAATGATAAACCCACCTCAATCAACTCTCCTCTATTTTATCACATGATGAAACTACCTTGAACCCAGCCTCAAAGTTTCTTCTGCTGTATTCATGTTTGACTTAAATTTTTATTCCTGCCAACATTCGTATTCAATTACATATCCAAGAGCTTCAAAATTGTAATTCAAGTATGATTTGAGTAAATCTTACAGTGCTTAGAACCTTCATCAACTATTTTTAAGGTAATGGAAATCCTTCAAGAAGTGATTTTAACCTTGCCAATTAAATGCCCAGACACAGACAAGTGAAACAACACTTTGCACCATGACACAAGAAACATGAACACAACTTCTCGTTCTCAAAAATCAACAAAATGAAGATTTGGATATATCATTTTTTTTTTGAGAAAAAGGTAATTGTATTAATGCGTATAACTGTAACATATTACAGCCTTTGGTCCACAAAACTCCATGTACAGCCAACCTATACAAAAAGTTACCAAAAAACCAGTCTCTCCCAAATACATACAAGAGACCCCCAACTAAATCAAGTAAACAAAAAATCCAAATCAAAGTATTGATGGTGGGGGATATGCTTAAACGAGTCCTTGGCTGACAGCCAGGAATGTAAAGTAGCCAATGCCCGGACCACCAACTCATCTAAGGAGCACCTTTAACCTTCAAAAATCCTACTATTTCTTTCTTTCCACAGGACCCAACATACTACATGAGGGATCATACACCATAATACCTTACCCCTGTTACTTAAGCCTGTCAACTTCCAAGAGAAAAGCAGTTCAGCTAAAGACTTGGGGCAGCACCACCTCACATTTAGCAGGGAGCAGAAATGACAGAGCAGCTGATGGGCAACCTCACAATGAATAAATAGGTGATCCACTGATTCAACTTCCCCATTGCACATCACACAACTTGTGGAGGGCAGCACCAGACCTCTCCTGATTAACTGCTCCTTGGAGAGACATTTACCATGCACTGCAGTCCAGACCAAGAAGGAGACTTTAGTAGGAATGTGAGGAAGCCAAATCTCTTTCCAAGGAAAAGCCTGAGCCAAACCAGCACTCAGATTTGAATAAAATGACTTCACTGAGAAAATCCCATCCTTAGTCCATTTCCAAATTCTGGTATCTTGCTGATTTGGGTTCAGTTGATATTCCTGAATCGCTTGTAGCAGCTCTAACAGATCAGAGAATTCCAAATCATTGAGATGCCTCCTAAATTTTGGACACCAGTATCCTGTATTTCCCCGCCGCTCAAACTGATCTGCCACCACCACATTCCTGTCTTCTGCTAAAAGGAATAACGACAGGACGGTCTCCATTAGGGGGACACCATTGCACCAGGTGTCTCGCCAGAAACTAATCCTCTTGCCATCCCCTAAATTTAGCCTAATCCCTTGGATGAAAAGAGGATAAACCTTCTCAATTCCTTTCCAAACTGAGCATCCAGCAGGCGAGGGTGCAGGTCCAGGATCCCATCCATAGTTTCTAGTTCCAAACTTTTCCGCAATTATCCGCCTCCAGAGAGCTTGGGGGCTAGAATTAAAGAGCCACCACCATCTACCTAGGAGAGCAGTATTTACCTGCCTAAAATTTCTTACTCCTAAACCCCCTGCCGAGACAGGTTTGCATATGGAATCCCACTTAACCTGATGGATCTTTTGTTCACCATCCTTCCCACACCATAAGAACTTCCTTTCTAGCTTTTCCATCCTTTCAGCCACCTGTGTTGGGATTGGAAACAGAGATAAAAAGTGGATAGGTAGATTTGCTAGGACACTTTTCAGCAGAGTAATCTTAGCTCCCTTAGACAAATACCTGGACTTCCAACCCCCTAGCTTCTTCTCTATCCTTTCAATCGCCGGGTCCCAAATGGATTTGGAGTGACAGTTTGCTCCAATTGGAAGACCCAGGAACCTGAAAGGGAGTTTTCCCACTTTACACCCAAGCTCCGCAGCCAGATCCTGGATATTATTGACCTCCCCAACTGGGATAATTTCACTTTTCTGAAAATTCACCTGTAATCCAGAGATCACCTCGAACCAAACCAGAATCATCCGAAGATTACTTAACTGGTCCTTTTCTGCCTGAACAAAGAATAAAGTATCATCTGCATACTGTAGTAAAGGGACCACAGTTCCTTCCTCTGCCACTCTAAAACCTTCCACACAGCCTTCAGCCGCAGCTCTTTTAGCTAATCTAGCTAAAGCCTCCACCACACAGATAAACAGCAATGGACAAAGGGGGCCTCCCTATCAAAGACCCCTCGAACTTCTAAAGAAACCAGAAGATGACCCATTTACAAGTACAGAAAACTTAGCAGTGGATATGCACACTCTGACCCAATTCCTCCATTTCTGGCCAAAGTTCATTTTCTGCAACACCAAGTTAAGAAACCTCCAGTTTACATGATCGTAAGCCTTCTCTAAGTCAATTTTGCATACCACCCCAGTGCTGCCACTCCTTAACTTCGAGTCTACCAGATCATTTGTCTACCACCTCAATTTTGCACACTCTATTGATAACCTACTTTATTGTGAAGCTTTTAAACTACCTATCTGTTCTAATAAAATATTGTATCCCATCAAACTCAATAGAGTTTCTACACTTTTATAGTAAAGTTTGTTAAGATATAGAAATCATATAATTTATTGGACTTTGAACAAACAAATAACTAAACTGCCAACTGTCATGGAATAACCTATGAAGATAATAAGACTCTAGAAGTACCCATGTGTTATCCAGTTTCAATATCTATCTTGTAGCTTGTAAATATGTGTGCATGTTTACACATACAGGTACAGCTCATAACTGCCATCAAATGTGATGAGATGCATTATCTTGTCAATAACCATTAACTAACCGAGTGAAAACCATAAGAACTCACTTGCCTCAGCACTGTATTTTTTTAATAATTTTTTTCTTTGGATTATAAATCCTTTTATTCTAATGTTAAAAAAATTTTCTTTCCTAGTGAACACAATGCATGAGATGTAATTAATGGGCAACTGGATCTGGAATTGAAACAAACACAATGTAATAAAAAGCCAAGGGAGTCATGGGTGAAATGTGTACATATTTAAATAGACATAACAATATTTCAATCACGCCCAGTGCCTTACCATACAGATAGCCTTAGAATGGAGTAGTGAATTGCGACAACAAAACCATAAACAATGAAACAAGGCCAGGATAAATGGATAATGACAGGAAAGATGGCATAAATAGCTATCATACACGAGAAACACATGTTAAACCTGGTTGTAAATAAAGTTAAAAATCTTCATCATTAGAAATTTCACATTGACTAAAAAATATATAATTTCATTTCTAAACAGAACAACTGTATAATGTTTACATGTGTTTTATCATAATTCAGCACAACTAATAAGGATTTCCTGTTTCACTTCAATTCCAAACCGATATGCACCCACCACCTAAAAGTAGTGATTGCATTCTAACAGTATGAAACTTCAATGGTATTCAACCCACCCACTATAGAAGAATCACCGGTTAAATATTAGTAGAGTCAATATCCTTCTTTACCACTCATATGTGTCAGAGTCGGAGTCAGAGTAAACCGATTATCTGCCCTTTATGCCCAGAGGAAAATATAAATTAGATAATTACAGACATCAAACTAAAACTTTCTAAATTCAGCAACGAACTCTAGAATGTTTCCGTCAAAGATTTCCTAGTCAATGAGTGAGGAGAAAATAGGTTCAAAAACAAAAGGATCCAAATTGGAAAATATGCTACCTGTTTATGGATCAGATCGGATTCCAAAGAGTAAATGAGCAGATATCCATTAGAGGTTCCAACGGCAAGGGCATGGAGATCATCGAAGACAAGCCACTCGATGGCGGTGATCTCTCCTTCAACTGGGGATAAAGAAGGTCGGATCTTAACCGGCCGACTAGATGGGTCATCGTATCTCCAGCCGAGGATGAGAATAACAGAACGGTTGGCAAGAGCGAGCGAATGGGTGTCAAGGGTAGAGAGAACGTTGGCGCTGTCGACAAGCCACCCTTCCTTGCCGGCACCCAATTCGGCCAATTCGTCGCAGGCGATGCACCCAAGCTCCGTCACATGCGACCGCCTGGCCATTGATTTCAAACCATCATCACCAGGATCGTAAACGGTAAACTATAACAGATCAATTGAAACTAAACAGAAACAGAGGACCAACGAAGTTGCAGAGAGACTCAGATTGTACCAGGCGGACGAATGCGTGAAGATTCAGAAAGGACGCAAAACAATTTTAGTTTGGGGTAAAGCCGTTGGATCGGAACCTTCCAGATGAGGAGAAGCCGTTGGATCGGAACCTTTCAGATGAGGAGAAGTTATATAATACATCGAAGTGGAATATTAGATTCGTAAGTATTCTGCGGGAACCTTTAAATTGGGATCTTCTGCCTCGATTAGCCTAAGGTGGGTGGCCTGTATTGTCCTTATAGGAGGACATGATCAGGACGCTTCAGTTTTTAACCGAAACCTCTGAAAGCCTGAAGACATAAACCTCCCTCCCTACCCTTGTGTTTTTTTTTTTTTATTTGCTAAAAGCCCTTGAGGTTTCACCTAAATAATAAAACCTCCCCTTACCATTACGAAAGGACTTAAACCACCCCTAGTGAGTAATGGCTGACATAACAAGACAAACTACCCGCTGCTCTCCAAGTTCTCTCAGCAAAGCCCTTTTTGACTTGTTCCAAACCACTATTGATTGAGACTATTATCCTTGTGAAAACCGTGCAGAGTTTAAAGATCAATTACCATTACCACATCTAAATCTTGGAAAAACAAATCAATTCCTCCTTCATCACAACAAGCCAAGCCTAGCTCTCATTTATTATATTTTCTTTATTTTTCTTTCATGACAATAATGACTAAAACCATTTCACTTGTCAAGATTAAAAACATATCCATTCATTTGTGATGATAAAATGCGCCACCAATGTATTTCTTTCTTTTAACTCAAAGAACCCACTTCAGCTTTGCTTTTAAGAAGGGAAAAAAATAATTGCAAGCCAACAACTCACTTAATTTCAAAAACTTATACATAAAGGAAAAGGCAGGGAAAGGAAGGGAAAGATATCAAAACCTATACAAGGTTTGTAAAAATTTCTTTGCCTTTCCTTTCCCTACTTTTTTTCCTTCAAACCAAACATAGCCTAACTGTTGCTAACTGTAATAGAAGAAGAAAAAGGGGAGCTGCTGAGATTTTCTCACCTTCTCAAGGCAAGGAAACCTTAAAAGGAGTACAGGGTAGGGACAACAGATATCGATTTGCAAACATATAGAATACTGTGAGGGCACTTTTTGTATGTCTTGCATTTGTTAAGATTAACAGTATAATCTTTTAGTATTTATACAATGCATTCATGTTTAAAATTTATGCTGTTATGTTCTTGTTTGAAATTAATAGTTTGGTGGTTCGTTTTGAAAATTTGAAAAATAATCAAGGATGGTTCTATTAAATATAACAGCATATCATAATAATGACAGGGGAGGTTTCACTTTTGTAAAAAGCTAGAGGAGAAGTATAATTTTTTATGAGAAACGTTAGGGGAGGTTTCAGCTTATTCATCGTGGCCTCTGGGAAAGGATTATAAATATATTACCCAGCACAAATAGATCGCCTGGTACTTTCGTAATAAAAAGTTGAATATGTGCTTGCAACATTTGGATATTGGTTTTATAAAAGTTTGTAACGGTTGTATATGATTTGAATAAAGTTCAAGATATCCAAATGTATTGGTGTGTGTCTTAATATACTTCTCATTTTTCGAGTTTGGCTTCAGTCAGGGTAAAGCAAGTTCGAGCAGTCTTTACTGCTTTGCATTCAGAATATCTCCATACTTGTGTGCTTTATTTCATGGAGAGATATTTCCAATGCAAAGTTGGGAAAGGCTGTTAGAATGGTGTGGGCACAGGTTTGCCCTGATAGAAGCCCATCTCCATTTTTCGGGATATTTAAAGGTTTTGAGTGTTAACATAAGGTCTGACATATCACCTAACAAAATATCAAAATCAAAATTCTTTATTAGAAAAAAAAAATTAAAAGAATTCCAATTAAACAAAACTCTCGATACACAAATTTTGCATTTTAAACCTTACGAGTTTTGTGATAGTTTGTAAATATTGCATATCAGCTTGTAATAGTTGAGTGACAACTAGTACAATCTATATCTATATCGATATCTATCTATACTATTTATAAAAATGTGAATGAGGAAGTATTGGCTTTGGAAATTCTTTTTATTGAAATATCCCTCCTCTTGAATTTAGTTCATCTCCAATGAAATGGCAGAAAATGTAATTAAAAGAGTATCATTAAGTACATTCAATTACATTTCATTAAGTCTCACATTTAAGTCATTAAATAAATCACATTCTCTCTAATTGAATCCAACATTTATACTTTTGTTTATCATCATCAAATTCCATTAATAAATCCATACACAATAATTATTAATAGAATAAAATTTTATATTATTAAAATAAACATAGAAATGAAATCATATTTTTCATCTAGGTGGTGGGTAAGTAGTTCAACCATATGGGTCAAATGGATAATTTCATGATGTCATAAATAAATAATACAAATTTAGAAATATGAAAAAATAGACAATTTTATTAATGATGGACATCAAATATACAACTTAAAACCGATGGGAAATTAAACCATTTTCCTATTTAGGGGCTGGGTTAGTGGTTCAACATTTCAGGTCAAATAGGCCAACCCATGATGTATAATTAAAAATAATTTTTTAAAATAGAATAGTACAAAAAAAATGAAACAATTTTGGGCACATCTATAATATTATATACTAATAATATAAACAAAATTAAGTATAATAAATAATAATTATTTTATCAATGACATAAATGAAATGCAAAACTTAAAACCAATTTGAAAATGAACCATTTCCATATCTTGATGGTAGGTACGTCAATGATCTAACGTTTTGGGTCAAATTGGTCAATCTATGATGTCATAACTAAGTAACGAATATTAAATACATACATACATATATATATATATATATAAGCTTTGTATAAAGCATTTTGATACAATTCTATTGTTATATATTCACCATATTAAAAAAAATAAATGTGAAAATAAGAATTACTTTTATCGATGATGAAAATGGAATACATGATTTAAAATCAACCAAAAAAGCAAAATGGTTTTTCCATCCAAATGGTGGGTTAGTGGTTCAACTATCTATGTCAAATGGATGTTATTATTAAATAATAAAATACATAAAATTCTAAAAAATATAGAAATTTATCAATAATTTTGGGTATATTTTATAATATTATATTCATCATATAAAAAAGTGTGATTAATGATAATTATTTTCATTAATGGTAGAAATTGGATAAAATTATAATAAAAAATAAAGAGCATTAATGTCTAACACATGACCCGACTAACCATATGTCAAATGGTTCAATAATTTAATTAGCTAGGTCATCGTAGGCAAGTGGTTTGGTAAGGATGTAAATAGATCAAATCATATCATATCAAATCTAATTTGATCCAAAGATTCGACTGGATCTCATAAATATTGATTCGAATCTGAATCCGGTCAAGATGTTAAATATTTGAATTTGATAGGATCCTATTTAATTTTTTAAAAAAGTAATAAATTATTAAAAGAAAAAGAAAAATATAACAGTTGTACTAAAAAAAAGTATTTTTTCAACTATATTTATAAATAACATAAATAACATATTTATAAATAAATAAATAATAACATATATATTATATATAAATAATATATATACTATATATATAAATAATTGATTTGACCACAATATTAAAAACCAACGTTCAAACAATATATTGGATTGCATTTCCTCTTGGTAAATAAGTAATCTTTATTATCTCATAAATTAAATAATAAAAAATAAAATATAGAATTTTTTATAAATTTTATAAAAAATGAAATACATTTATATTATATATTCTTCATATTAGACAAAAACATGTTTGAAAAAATGAGAATTATTGTTAATAAAGATAGAAATGGCTAAAATACAATGAAAAAATGAATTAGTGTCTTAATCATAGTCCATGTTCATAGTTAAATAAGTTAACAGTTCAACCAAGAAGGTCCTTTGGTTATTGATTATTATCATCATCATCATTTGATACTGTCACGTCCAAAAATAAATACAAAAATAAGAATTATATTTATTGATGATGAAAATATGATACATGATTTAAAATCAATCGAAAAAGAAAAAATGATTTTTCTATCCAAGTGGTGGGTTAGTGGTTCAACTATCCATGTCAAATGGATCAACACATGATGTTATTATTAAATAATAAAATACATAAATTTCTAAAAATTATAGAAATTTGTAGATAATTTTGGGTACATTCTATAATATTATATATTCATCATATAAAAAAAAAGTGTGATTAATGAGAATTATTTTCATTAATGATAGAAATGGGATAAAAATTAAGATAAAAATAAAGAGCATTAATGTTTAACACATGACCCCACTAACCATGTCAAGTGGTTCAACGATTTAATTGGCTAAGTCATTGTAGGCAAGTGATTTGGTAGGATGCAAACAAATCAAATCGGATTTGAATCAAGGTATATTCAAATTTGATTCGATCTAAAGATCTAATCGGGTCTCATAAATATTGATTCGAATCTGAATCCGATCAAGATGTTGGATATCCGAATCTAATACGATCCAATTTAATTTAAAAAATAATAAATTATTAAAATAAAAAGAAAACATAATATTTTAAAATAAAGAAAAATATAAGTATTTTTTCAACTATGTTCATCATATAAGAAATTTACAAAAATGCAATATAAATAACATATATACTATATATAAATGATATATATATATATAATTGATTTGACCACAATATTAAAAATCAATGTTCAAACAATATATTGGAATTGCATTTCCACTTGGTAAATAAGTAATTTATATTATTTCATAAATTAAATAATAAAAAATAAAACTATAGAATGTTTTATAAATTTTGTAAAAAAAATTGAACATGCATTAATATTATATATTCTTCATATTAAACAAAAATATGTTTAAAAATAAGAATTATTGTTAGTAAAGATAGAAATGATTAAAATACAAAGAAAAAATGAATTAATGTCTTAATCATAGTCTATTTTCCTGGTTAAATAGATTAATGGTTCAACCAATAAGGTCATTTGGTTGCTGACTGTTATCACCATCATCATTTGAT